CCCAGTGCCCCCCCCCCCCCCACTTCCTTGGCTATAGTGAGCCCTGATGCCACCTCAGGATGCCCCAAATGTCACCAACTGTCCCTAAGTGCCCCCAAGGGTCCCCAGTGCCCCCCCATGTCCCCATCCCAGTGCTCCCAGTGTCCCTGCCTGTCCATCCCCAGCCATGCTGGACCCTGATGCCACCTTGGTCCTTCCCTCAGTGTCCCCCAGTGGCCCCTGATGTCCACAGGTGTCCTCTAGTGCTCTCCCAGTCCTCCCAGTGCTCCCCAGTGCCCTGGCCCTGAGTGTCCCCATGGTGTCCCTGTCCCATGCGTGCCCCATATCCTGGTGTGCCCATGGCTTTGGTGGCCTTGTTCCCTGGGTGTCCCCTCTGTGTCCCCAGGGTGTCCCCATCCACTGGGTGCCCTGTCCTGTGAAGTCCCCAGAGTGTCCCCATCCCAGGGTGTCCCCATGGTGTCACCAGGCTGTCCCCAAGGTGTCCCCATCCCATGGTGTCCCCATGGTGTCCCCAGAGTGTCCCCATCCCATGGGTGCCCCATCCCATGGGTGCCCCATCCCATGGTGTCCCCCCGGTGTCCCCAGGGTGTCCCCAGGGTGTCCCTGTCCGCGTGGTGTCCCCAGGGTGTCTCCAGGGTGTCCCCATCCTCTGGGTGCCCTGTCCTGTGGTGTCCTCATGATGTCTCTAGGTTGTCCCCATCCCATGGGTGCCCCATCCCACGGTGTCCCCAGGATGTCACCAGAGTGTCCCTGTCCCTGTGGTGTCCCCAGGGTGTCCCCATCCCATGGTGTCCCCATGGTGTCCCCAGGGTGTCCCTGTCCTCTCCCTGTCCTCGTGGTGTCCCCAGGGTGTCCCCATCCCATGGATATCCCATTCCACAGTGTCCCTGTGGTGTCACCAGGGTGTCCCTGTACCTGTGATGTCCCCAGGGTGTCCCCATGGTGACCCCATCCCATGGGTGCCCCATCCCGTGGTGTCCCCAGGGTGTCACCAGGGTGTCCCCAGGCTGTCTCAGGATGTTCCCAGGGTGGCCCCATCCCACAGTGTCCCCAGGGTGTCACTGGGGTGTCCCTGTCCCTGTGGTGTCCCCATCCCATAGGTGCCCCATCCTGTGGTGTCCCCATCCCACGGTGTCCCTAGGGTGTTCCCATGGTGTCCCAAGGGTGTCCCCATTCCACGGGTGCCCCATCCCATGTTGCCCCACAGTGTCCCTGTGGTGGCAGTCACTGATGGGACCATGTCCCTCCAGAGATCCCCTCGGTGACACCGCGCTTGGCCACCCGCAACCAGACATCCTTCTGTGTCACCTGGCCCCGCCCCACGCTGCCGGTGGACTGCTACGAGGTGGCCGTCATCCCCCTGGTGAGCTGGGGATGGGGACAGGGGGGGACGTCCCCAGCACTGTGGTGGCCTCAGTGGGGTGGCCCTAACGTGGCCTTTGTCAGGATGAGGTGACATCTGTGGCCACCTGCTGCTGCCCTGCCAGGGGACACCATAAGGGTATCCCTGTGATGTCCCCTGTTGTCCCCAGAGCCAGCCATGGTCAGGCCGCGTCCTGTTGCCTAACTCATGGATGGGGACATCTCCCCGGTGTGTCCCTTGTCCCTAGGATGAGCCGTGGTGGTGTCACCTGGCTGGTGGATGTGTCCCCCCCATGGTGTCCCCAACATGTCCCCAGTGTGTCCCCAACATGCCTCCCAGCCCCAGGACAAGCCATTGGCTGAAGCCGCCTGGCTCAGGGATGAGGAGGTGTCACCACACTGTCCCCAGTGTGTCCCCAGCATGTCCCCAACATGTCCCCCAGCCCTGGGAGAAGCTCTTGGCCGTGGCCTCCTGCCAGACCCAGGGTTAGGTCCCACCGCGGTGTCCCCAGTGTGTCCTTGTCCCTCTCCCTTGTCCCCAGGATGAGCCGGCGGCGATGACCACCCATGAGCTGCCTGGCTCCACTGTCACCTTCGAGGTGACAGGGCTGCCACCCGGCCATGCCTTCGAGCTCTTCATCCAAGCCCGGCGGGAGCAGCACCTCGGGGCGCCCGGCACCCTGCGCGTCCGCACCTGTACGTGTCACCCCCATGTGTCACCTGATCAGCACAGGGGGGACAGGGATGGGGACACCGTGGGGATGGCAATGGGGATGGGCATGGGGACAGGGGTGGGGATGGCCCGGGGTTGGGGACAGCGGTGGCACAATCATGGGTGTGGATGGCAGGGGCATGGGGACAAGGATGACACTGGGATGGAGACAGGGACAGGGATGGCGTGGTTGTGAGTAAGGGGACAGGGACAGCATGGGCATGGGGACATAGGTGGGGATGGGTGGGGATGGGTCTGGGGATGTCAATGGAGATGGCACGGGGGTGGGGACAGAGAGAGTGGTGGCATGGTCATGGGCAAGGGGACAGGGGTGGGACAACAGGAAGGGGGACAAGGATGGGGACAGGGATGGGGACAGGAAGGGGACCAGGATGGGGACAAGGATGAGGACAGGGATGGGGACAGGAAGGGGACAAGGATGGGGACAAGGATGAGGACAGGGATGGGGACAGGAAGGGGACAAGGATGGGGACAGGGATGGGGTTGGCACAGTCGTGTGGAGGGGAATGGCCCAGGGGTGGGATTGGGGACAGCGATGGCATGGTCATGGGTCTGGGGACAGTGACGGGGATGGCATGGACATGGGGACAGCACAGGGACAGGGATGGGGATGGGAGTGGTATGGGTATGGTGACGGGGACGGGGATACTGATGTCGTGGGTGTGGGGACAGGGATGGGGACAACCACGGGGACAGGGAGAGTCATGGAGGTGGCTTGCACGTGGGGATGGGGGTGGCATGAGGATGGCGACAGCATGGGCACAGGCATGGTGACGGAGCCACATGGGGACAGTGTCAACACAAGGATGGGGACAGCAGTTAGCACTGGGATGGGGACGGGGACGGCACAGGGACGACATGGGGACAGGGACAGGATGGGGACAAGCATGGGGATGGCACAGGGACGGGGACAGGGACTGGGATGGGCATGGGGACAAGGACGGTGCCTGTGTGTCCCCATGGCTCCATGGCGTGGGTCTGTCCTGGCGGGTCTGTGTGTCACCAGTCTGTCCCTGGGGGTCCCTGTGTCCCTTGGGCCTGTCTAGCTGTGTCTGTCCCCATGTGTTCCCATGGGTCTGTGTGTCCCCATGGGCCCATGTGTCCCCTTGGACTTGTGTGTCCCCATGGGACCGTCTGTCCCCTTGGACTCATCTGTCCCTATGGGCCCATGTGTCCCCATGGACTCGTCTGTCCCCATGGCTCCAGGTGTCTCCACATGTGGTGCCTCCCCGTGCGTCCCTCTGTTACCTGGGTCTGGATGTTCCCAGTCTGTCCCCATCAGTCCATCTCTCCCAGTCTGTCCCCTGGGTGTCCCCAGTCTGTCCCTATGCGTCCGTCTGTCCCTGTCCCTTCCCGTGTCCATCCATCCCTGTGTCCCCCCGTGGATCCCTGGGCTCTGGCACATGGGGACTTTTGGGGACAGGTTGGTGACCATGGTCCCCTTTGCTCTCGCAGTGCTTGCCCAGACTCTGCCCACCCACGGGAGGTCCCCAGGGTCCCCTCAGGGTTCTCTGGGGTCCCCACCATCACCATCAGCCCGAGGGTCTCCAGCATCCCCAAGGTCCCCAGTGTCACCAGCATCCCCAGGGTCACCGGGGTCCCTGGGATCACCGACATTACCAGTGTCACCGGATGCATCCTTGGGGTCACCAGGGTCTTTGGGATCACCGGCATCCCCAGCATCTCCAAGGTTTCCAGCATCCCCAGTATCTCGAGGGTCACCAGGGTCCCCAGCATCCCCGAGGTCCCCAGTGTCACCAGAGTCCCCGGCATCACGAGCATCCCCAAAATCCCCAGGATCACCAGTGTCCCCAAGGTCCCCAGAGGCACCAGCATCCCCAGTGTCCCCAGGGTCACCTGCATCTCCACGGTCCCCAGTGTCACCACAGTCCCCTGTGTCACCTCCATCCCCATGGTCCCCGCTGTCCCCAGTGCTCCCAGGTGGCCCGTCCCTGCATGACCTGGGGGCCAAGCTCTCCTCCTACAACGGCTCCTTGCTGCAGCGCCTGGAGAGCCACCTCCAGGCTACTAACTTTCCCCTCCGGGGCAACCAAACGGTGCCAGCAGTGGCCCGTGCCATCCTCTCCTACCTCCTACGCCGCAGCCCCGCTCCCTTGCGTCACCAGCTCCTCCGCCAGATCCCCCACCCCAAGCCCCAGTTGATCCCAGGGGCCACCGGCGAGGCTCTGGTGGAGCTGGACGGGCTGCGGGGCCACGTGGAGACTGTGGTGATCCGCTACCGGCTCCTGGGAGAGCCGCAGGGGAGTGAAGGGGAGCTCCAGGTGCCGGGGGACTACGCCGCAGCCCCGCTCCCTTGCGTCACCAGCTCCTCCGCCAGATCCCCCACCCCAAGCCCCAGTTGATCCCAGGGGCCACCGGCGAGGCTCTGGTGGAGCTGGACGGGCTGCGGGGCCACGTGGAGACTGTGGTGATCCGCTACCGGCTCCTGGGAGAGCCGCAGGGGAGTGAAGGGGAGCTCCAGGTGCCGGGGGACACGGCGGTGGCCCAGGTGCCAGGGCTGGTACCGGGGGCCATGTACCGGGTGGAGGTGCACGGCGTGGTGCGGGGGCAAGTCTCCAAGTCCTACACATCCCTGGTGACTGCAGGTGGGTGACAGGGATGGAGGTGGGGACAACATTGGAGGGGGACATCCCATAACTGCCTGCTCTTCTTTTGGCTTCAGGGGTGGGTGGCAGCAGTGAGGCTCCGCTGGACTGGGAGCACTTGTATGAGGGGGAGCTGACCGAACCCCAGGGGGCTGCAGCCAAAGCAGGTGCCGTCAGGGGTCCATGGCAGGAGGGGAGGGACTCGGAGGGTCGGGCTGACATGGTCTGAGGGGACAAGAAGGGAATGGGGGGGGGCCGGGATGGATGGATGGATGGG